TCAGATATTACACGTAATTGCATTGTTTGTGAGTGTTAGTAAGCAGGTTTAGATCGACTGATTGCCTGTCTTGCTGTATTTTAGGATATTGCGCACAAGAGAAATTGTGTTAGTAGTACATTGAATTATCGTGTGATTGACCCAAATTTATTGAGACTGATTGGCTTAACTTTCCGCTTGTTCTGCGCAGACCGCGACAGTATTTTTTGAATACGTTTTGGTAATGTAACTATAAACAATTTCTATCTTAAGAAACAACAAAAACTATATTTGATAAACAAATTAAATTTAGCATAGAAATTTTTAAAAAGGTACTCGTTTTCGAATGTTTAGAATATAATTTCCGCTTTAAAAAGAACATTCCAAATGTCGGAGTTTTTGAAATAAAACATGACGACAAATTCTAGAACATATAATTTCTCAACGATTGAATTTTGAATTTTTAAAATTTTTTTTCAATAAATATAAATAGGAGAATTTTTTTTTGGATCATAAGTTTCCGCATTTCTATTTTATTTTAATAAAATGACTGAAATTTTTTTTTCTAGAAAGTCTGTTAGATCTAGAAATACATCAGATGTATAAAATGAAATGTAGAACTCGTATCAATAGTTCACACATATGTTATTACTGTTATGGCATGGATTCTTTAATTGGTAACAGCGGTAATATAAACATTGATAATTTTATCAAAGGAACATATTCATCATCATTTGCGATTAGTACGATCAGTAAAAGAGAACCATTTTTACAATGGGTTTCTTTTGAAGAGTTTAAAGATGTAAAGAAAATTGGACAAGGTGGTTTCTGCCAAATCTTTAAAGCTACCTGGAATTTTTTGAAGGCATCAGTGATGACGGTAAAGTAAAGCGGCCAAGTTCAGAACGAGAAATTCTTTTGAAAATACTAAATAACTCCCAGAATGTGGATACTGTATTCTTAAATGAGTTATTAATCATTTATTTATAGTTATTAATTATTTTAATTATTAATATTTATTTATTACATTTGAAAAAATATAGTTGAAGCATACATTTCAGTTCAGGTATGACAAAGAAAACATAATTGAATGTTATGGAGTAACACAGGATCCACAAACAAAAAAATTATGCTTTTGTTTTAGAATATATACCAAATGGCGATTTGAATCATTTTATACATAAAAACTTTGAAGAATTTACATGGGATCGTAAAATTGATTATTTAAATAGTATTGTTAGAGGAATTTCAAAAATTCATGATGGGAAAATTATACATCAAGATTTACATAGTGGTAACATTCTTGTTAATAAGAATATTTATGATAATTATTATAATAACAGTTATTTCAGAATTAGGATTTAGTCAACCAGCAAATATTGGATCAAATCTTTCAAGAGAATCGCAAATATATGGAATAATTCCATATATGGCTCCAGAATTATTTAAAAATCAACTATATTCATATGCATCAGATATTTATAGTTTAGGAATGATCATGTGGCAATTGACATCAGGACACAAACTATTTCATGATCAAGAACATGGAACTGAACTCATATTAGTTATTTTAGATGGAAAAAGACCAGAGATTACAGAAGATACACCAGAAATTTTGGGCAAATTTAATAAAAAGATGTTGGCATCATGATCCTTCTCAACGACCAACCATATCAAAATTTCCGTATTTTATATATTATAATAATTTAGAATTTAAAGAAGACGAAAAAAATCGACTTGAAATGTTTGAATCAAAAAAACCGTTTATAAAAAATCCAGGATATCATTAAATTTCATGCTAAAATATATTAATTCAAAAATATCAGGTATTTAATTATTCTAATAGCCGTTAAAATGAAATAATTAATTTTCTTAATAGTCCTTATACATGATTTCAATAGATCTATTCTCTAATGATCATTTACTCTCCAATGACCATTTTGATATAATGGATTTCAAGTAAGAATTATTTATTTTTATATACTTCAGTTACTAATCATTTCACTAATTTATCAATTTTCAAATAGTTCCAAACAAAAGAATAATTTTGAAAATTCAGACCATAATTCAAGTTCGGAAAATTTTAGTAAACATTTTTTGGATGAATTACTGCAAGAAAACAATAAAGATCAAAGTAATATCTTTTAAATTTTATAACAAAATTTAATTTTAAGTATTTTTTTATTAATTTATATTTTACCAAACAGATGACTTTAAACGAGGAAAAATCTGTTGAATGTTTTGTAGTTAAAGATACGGATACAATTATTATTAAAACTATTACTTATTTTTATTTTATTTTTTACTTTTACTTCTATCGCACACAATTAGATAATTTCAAAATATTACTTTATATTATCTTATCATTTTACTTTAGAAGTATATTTTGGAACAATCTTATGATAAATATATGACTTAAGAGCTGATTAACCCGCTATTTAGTTAAGAATTCAGTTAAAGAAAGCAAATATCGTATACTTTGTAGAAATGATTAAATATAGTCCACATGCTTCTTTAGTTTTGGTTGAAAAAAATCATGAAATGTTTTAAATCTTGCTCTATTTTATTTACATTATTATATATAATTATATCAGATATATAATTTATTAATTTTTAAAAAACAAGTCGGATAAAATAACTTATTCATTTTTAAAATTTTTATCCATATTTATTTAAATATACTTTTGTATTTTAACACTGGGACTGGGTTACTGTGTATAAAATTTAATAGGTTTTAAATTATTATCATTTCAAATCATAAACAAATCAAAATGAAAAATTGGTATGAGATTTTTTATGTAATTACAAGAATTTAGGATGAAGGGGCATTTTATTATTTTATTTTATTATATTTTACAATTATGAAATATTTACATGCATTAGAAGATGTGAAAATTCACAATACCAGAATTTGTATTTACATTTAGGTCAGAGAGGTGTTTAGTACATTTTTACTAATGTATTGAAAAGCAAACTATTAAAATTATGCCACAGATAATTTGAATGAATTTTTTACGGCTGTGTAAAAGTCTAATTTATCTATTATCCTTTATCGGGAAATTTCTAAGAGCGAATATATCCGGATATATTCGCAAGTTATATGAATTTATCTTAATCTATTTGTAAAAATATAGATAAATTTATTTATTATGCGAATATATGCGAATTTATCCGGATAAATGCGAATATCTGGATAAAGGCGAATATATCAGTATAAATGCGAATATTTAGTGCGGATAAATTTCCCGATGTTGTTTTTTAGCTTTTTAAATTAGATATTACTTATATTCTTCCTAAATATTTTTTTTTTATTTTTATATATTCCTAAATTCGCAAATGTAAGTTATTATTTTTTAGTAGTACTTAGCATCTTGTGTTCGAATTTGAGATTTGTAGATAAACAAGGTAGATCCTTTTGTATTAATTAAAGGTAAGATTTTCATTTTTTTTTAATATCACTTGCCTGATTTCTTTTTTTTTTTTAGAAAAATACTTGGATCGATGACGGATTCCATGGTAAGATCTTCTATTAATTATCTATGGATGAATTATTTGGGATTGATCATGCCTAGATAAAATATTCATTTTACAATAAATTCACATTATGTACATACAGTATATGTTACTCCGAGAATTGGGCTTTAGTAAAATGCATTTGCATTTATAAAAATGGGATTGGTAACACAAATATCAGAGTAAAATAGAAATTAATTAGTTAAAAGAAAGTGATTGAAGAAGTTTTAGAATTTTTTGAAAAAAACTATATGCATTAACCCGTATAAAAGGAATTCTTTTCCTCAAGAAAAAAGAATATCCGTAGAATGTACGGAAGAAAATTACCACCGGTTTCAAAATTTTCTACATATATAAATAGTGATGCATAAATCATAATACTTTAAAAGTATTTTTGTAATTTATTGAATCACGAGCGTTTGGTAATGTTATTATTTGTGTACATACAGTATATAGCTAAATAAAATTAAAACTTTAAATGCATTTGTCATTTATATTTATAAAAATGGGATCAGATCAGATTGATAATGTAAATGTAACGGGTTTTGCCGATATGTACAAGGAATTCTTTTCAAGAAAAAAGAATCTTCTCGTACAATGTATGGAAGATAATTTATTGCCGATTTCAGAATTTTCTATATATGTGTGAAAGAATGAATATGCATAAATACATACTTTATAATTCTTTATGATTTCTAGAAGGTATTTTTGTAATTTATTGAATCATGAATGTTTTAAGCAAACAACGAAAACTATATTTGACAAACAAATTAAATCCAGCATATAAATTTTTAAAAATGTATTCATTTTCGAATGTTTAGAATATAAGTTTCGAATTAAAAAGAACATTCCAAACGTCGGATTTTTTTTTTTTATCGCGTTTTGCGATTATTTAAGAAATCTGGTTATATATAATTGAAAGGTATTCGAATACCTTATAAACAAGATCACGTGCCCGCTCTTCAAATTCAGCCAATAAAATTAATACTCTCAAGCATTTATCACGTGTGATGAACTTATATGAAATTTTATTGGCTGGATTTGAGGATTAGACACGTGATATTATTTATAAGGTATTCAAACACCTTTCAATTACAGTATATATAACCAGATTTTTTAAATGATCGCACTAATTTGAAAACCGCGATAAATAAAACATGACAAATTATAAAACATAAAATTTTCTCAACGTTTGACAAATAAATTCTTTAAATGTTTTTTCAATAAATGTAAATAATAGGATTTTTTTTAATAAGTTCCCCCTTTCTATTTTATTTGAATAAAATGACTAAAAAATTTTTACAAGAAAACTTGATGGGTCTAATGAAAAAATCAAATGTATAAAATGCAAACGTAGAAGTCGTTTCAATAGTTCACATATATGTTATCATTGTCATGCATTAATTCTTTACTTGTTAACAGCGGTAATATAAACATTGATAATTTTATCAAAGGAACACATTCGGCATATAATATAAATATTGATCTATTTTTACAATGGGTTCCTTTTGAAGAGTTTAAAGATTTAGAGAAAATTGGGCAAGGTGGTTTCAGTCAAATTTTTAAAGCTACCTGGAGTCATAAATGGTAGCGGAAGCGGCCAAAGTCAAAACGAGAAATTGTCTTGAAAGTATCAAATAGCCAAGAAAGTGGATACGGAATTTTTAAATGAGGTAATAATCATTTATTTATTGTCACTAATTATTTTAATTTATTGATATTTATTTATTGCATTTGGAAAAATATAGTTGAAAAATACATTTCAGTTGTCTAAGTCTAAATACAATTATTACAAAGACACAATTGAATGTTATGATTTTATTTTAAAATATTTTCCAGATGGAGATTTGCATCATTTTATATATAAAAACTTTAAAAATTATAAATGGAAAAGTAAAATCAATTGTTTAAATAGTATCGCTAAAGGGATTAAAAAAATTCACGATAAGAAAATCGTACATCGAGATTTACATATCTTGCCAATAGAAAATTAGTGACATAGAAAATAATTATTTTCAATATAATACAAATACAGTCATTTCAGATTTAGGATTTAGTCAACCAGCAAATATTGGATCAAATCTTTCAAGAGAATCGCAAATATATGGAATAATTCCATATATGGCTCCAGAATTATTTAAAAATCAACTATATTCATATGCATCAGATATTTATAGTTTAGGAATGATCATGTGGCAATTGACATCAGGACACAAACTATTTCATGATGAAGAACATGGAACTGAACTTATATTAGATATTTTAGATGGAAAAAGACCAGAAATTACAGAAGATACACCAGAATGTGGGGCAAATTTAATGAAATGATGTTGGCATCATGATCCTTCTCAACGACCAACCATATCAAAATTTCCGTATATTATCCATTATAATAATTTAGAATTTAAAGAAGCCGAAAAAAATCGACTTGAAATGCTTGAATCAAAAAAACCATTTGTAAAAAATCCAGGATATGAGCATCCTAATTCTAGATATTATAGTATATCATTGAATTCCATGATAGAATCTAAATCTATTAATTCAATAATATCAGGTATTTATTGGTTTAAATAGTTTTTAAAATGAAATAATTCATTATAATAATAATTTCTTATGATCATTTTGATATAATGGATTCCAAGTAAGAATTATATATTTTTATATACTTCATTTATTAATCGATTTCAATAATTTAATAATTTTCAAATAGTTCCAATCAAAAGAATAATTTTGAAATTCGGACCGTAAATCGAGTACGGAAAATTCTAAAAAAATATTTTTAGGATGAATTACTGCAAGAAGAAAACATTGAAGATCAAAGTAATATTTTTTAAATTTTAATTTTTTTATAACAAATTTAATTATTTTAATTATTTATTTTATTAATTTGTATTTTTACCAAACAGGTGACTTTAAACGAAGAAAATTTGTTGAATATTTTAATGAATGTATTGTAATTGAAGGTATGGATGCATTAATTATTAAAATCTATTATATCTTTATTTTCAATAAAATTACTTATTTTTATTTTCTTTTTTTTTACTTTAATTTGTATCGCGTAGAATTAGATAATTTCAAATAATTACTTTATAATTTAGTGAAATAATTGTACAAATTTCTTTTTTTTTTCACATCAACGAATATAATATTATCATTTTACCTTATATAACAATGTTTAAGATAAATATATACGTATATATATGACTTAAGAGCTGATTAAATCTTCCATTCAGTTAAGAATTCAGTTAAAGAAAGCAATATTGTATACTTTGTAGAAATCATTAAATAAAGTTCACTTTAGTTTTGGTTGAAAAAAAAATTATATAATTATATCTGATATATAATTTATTAAATTTTTTAAAAAAATCATGTCGGATGAAATAACTTATTTACTTTTACTTTTAAAATTTTTATCTATATTATTTAAATAATCAAATTATACTTTTGTATTTTACACTTGGAATGGGCTACTGTGTATGTATATAAAATTTAATGGTTTTAATTATTATCATTTTAAATCACAAACAAATTAAAATGAAAAAATTGGCATGAAGTTTTTTATATAATTACAAGAATTCAGGGTGAAGGGACATTTTATTATTTTATTTTTTATTTTATTAATCAATTTATTATTTTTTTTTAGTAGTACATGACATCTTGGGTTCGGATTTGGAATCTGGAGATAAACAAAGTAGATTCTTTTGTATTTATTTAAGGTATTTTTTTAATATCATTTACCTGATTGGTTATTTTTTTTAATACTTGGGATTGATTATTCCATGGTAAAATATTCGATTTTTACAATATATTCACATTTTATAAATATATAGTTATTCCAGAGAATCTTCGAGAATTGAGTCTTTAAATGATAATCGAACATTTATAACTTAAAATATTTTCATATCATCATCATTAAGTGTGTCAAAGTTTAATAGAAATTAATTAAATTTAATTGGTTAAAAGAAATTGATTGTTTATATTTTAAGATACAGGTCAAGGTTATGAAGAAAGTGCATCTTTAAAACAAAGAGAAGTATCGTAATTTGCCGACTAAGGTATTCTCTAAGGCAAAATAAAAAAATGTAATCATCGGAATTTTATGAAATTTTAGCGAAGATTTGTGCATATTGTACCCGGAGCGTAGCGTAGGACATTATGCTTTTAGGTAGAAATTTTGACCCTACCGTGATTTGGTCACGCTGCGACTTGCGTATAACTGGCATACAGTAAAATCACATGAAAAATACAAATAAATAAAAGCATAGAAACAAAAAATAATTTAAATTTAGCTCAGGACTCAAAATGTTTACATTTTCTAGTTATCTAAATATACAAACTTATTTTATACTCCTCGGACAAAAACCCATGCTAAACAAAGTACCCCTTATACAAAATATCCCCTCGGATATAATTCAAATTTTTAGGAAGTGGGGTGAAATGTACCCTGGGCTTTTGGTCGGTAGTTAAATAAATCCATCTCAACGACAGACAATACGAGAAAATGATGAATTATCAAAAGAATCGAAATATTATTATGATTACGATTATAATTATTTTGAAGATGAAAAAATCAAAAAAATTATCCATCTAAAAATGAAATTTGGTTAGAATTACAGTAAATGAAGCTGACAAAAAAACGACTTGAAATGATCAAATCAAAAAAAAAAAAAAGTTTGTAAAAAATCCAAGATATGAGTATCCTAATTCTAGATATTATAGTACATACATCAATAAATTCCATGTTAAAATCTATTAATTAAGGTATTTGTTGGTCATATGATTTTTAAAATGATGCAATTTATTATATTAATGATTTCTTATAATGTAATTTCTAAGACATATTTTCTAATGATAATTTGTTCTCTAATAATAAACTATTCTCTAACGATCGCTTATATATGTAATAGATGTCAAGCATAAATTTTAAAATTTAAAATATACTTCAGTTATTAATTGATTTTTATTAATTTTTACTTCATATTTCAAATAAGTAAGCACTCTAAATCTAATAATTTAACTTCAATATCATACTCTAAACAGTTTTTTAAATATTTTTTTTAAAAGGGCAATTAAACGGTACGATTTTTCAAAATTATTATATTTTTGATATTTCAAATTATAATTACGTGTGTAGTGTTTATTTTTTTTAAAAAAAATTAAAATATTTTTGCCGACTATTAAATAGCATAATAACCTTTGTTTGAATATTTGAGATTATTGGATAGATGAAGATTATTCGAATTCGAATGAAGATACATATGATTTCATGTACCAATATAATGCTTTCTTTTCATCTTTGGTAGTACCAACCCCATAGAAATAACAATTCGCAAGACTATATTGTCCACTACTACTTCCCCCTTCAGCTGACTTTATATAACACTCGAATGCTTTCTCATCATCTTTTGTAGTTCCAATACCAAGGAGATAACAATAACCAAATTTATTCTGGCCATCAGTATTTCCTTCGTCAGCTAATTTCAAATACCAACTAAATATCTCCTCTTCGTCTTCGTCTGTGGTTTTTTTAATTTCATGTTGTCCATAATAATCACTATTGTCCTCTTCATTTTTTGTCGGTTTAAACCTAAGTAAAGTCTGTGAATTACTATTTCCTCCTTCAGCTGATTTCAAATACCACTGAAGTGCTTTCTCTTCATCTCTTATAGTTCCAATTCTATCACGATAACAATTACCAAGACTATATTGTCCACTACTATCTCCTCCTTCAGCTGATTTCAAATACCACTGAAATGCTTTCTCTTCATCTTTTGTAGTTCCAATTCCATCACAATAACAATTACCAAGACTATATTGTCCACTACTATTTCCCCCTTCAGCTGATTTTAAGTACCATTTAAATGCTTTCTTTTCATCTTTTGTTATTCCAATCCCATATTGATAGCAATAACCAAGATTATTCTGCCCTGAAATGTTTCCACCTTCAGCTGATTTCAAGTACCATTCAAATACTTTATCTTCATTTTTTGTTGTTCCAATCCCTTGTTGATAACAACGAGCAAGATTATATTGTCCTGTAATATTTCCCCTTTCAGCTGATTTCAAGTACCACCGAAATGCTTTCTTTTCATCTTTCATTGTTCCAATCCCATATTCATAACAATGTCCAAGATTATTCTGTCCTGTGATATTTCCACCTTTAGCTGATTTCAAGTGCCAATGAAATGCTTTCTCCACATTTTTTGTTGTCCCAATCCCTTTTCTATAACAATAACCAAGATTATTTTGTCCTATATTATTTCCACCTTCAGCTGATTTAAAATACCACTGAAATGCTTTCTCTTCATCTTTTGTTGTTCCAATCCCATACTCATAACAATAACCAAGATAACTCTGCCCCATACTATCTCCTCCTTCAGCTGATTTCAAATACCACTGAAATGCTTTCTCTTCATCTTTTGTAGTTCCAATTCCATCACGATAACAATTACCAAGACTATATTGTCCACTACTATTTCTCCCTTCAGCTGACTTTATATACAATTGAAATGCTTTCTCATCATCTTTTGTTGTTCCAATCCCTTGTTGATAACAACGTGCAAGATTATATTGTCCTGTAATATTGCCCCTTTCGGCTGATTTTAAGTACCATCGAAATGCTTTCTTTTCATCTTTTGTTGTTCCAATTCCATTTTTATAACAAAACCCAAGACCATTCTGTCCATTACTATCTCCACTTTCAGCTGATTTTAAGTACCAATGAAATGCTTTCTCTTTATCTTTTGTTGTTCCTATCCCATATTCATATAATACTCCAATCTTAAACTGCCATGTAATATCTCCACCTTCAGCTGATTTCAAGTACCATTGAAATGCTTTCTTTTCATCTATTGTTGTTCCAATCCCATATTCATAACAATAAGCAAGATTATTCTGCCCTAAAATGTTTCCACCTTCAGCTGATTTTATGTACCACTCAAATGCTTTCTCCTCATCTTTTGTTGTACCAATCCCTTGTTGATAACAACGTGCAAGATTATATTGCCCTGTAATATCTCCTTTTTCAGCTGATTTCAAGTACCATCGAAATGCTTTCTTTTCATCCTTTGTTGCTCCAATTCCATTTTTGTAACAATCCCCAAGATTATTCTGTCCTTTACTATCTCCCCATTCAGCTAATTTTAAGTACCAATGAAATGCTTTTTCTTCATATTTTGTTGTTCCTTCACTATAAGTGTATTCGAGAATACGAGTTTTGATGATTTCCATCTTAAGCTCATATTCAACTGCACCTCGTACTATTGTTACTTGAGGTTGTTTAGGAAAAATGCTTTTTACTTTATCTGAAAATTCTTCCCTAATTCTCAATTGAAAATATTTTGATTCACTAAAGCCACCTAATAAAAACATAACATCATATCCATCCCCTTTATTAAGTTGTTCTGAAATTAATTGAATAATTCTTCCTATAACAGGATTGAAAAGTGATTTCATAGTTTCAAAATCAAGATTGATTATCCAATTATCTTTTTCTAATTTTTTTTTATATAACCCATTAACATATCGTTTAATCAAAGGACAAAATTCTTCAAGATTAAATTTATAGGTTTTAAAATCTTGTAAGTTTCCAGAAAATGAAAATTTTACTTTACAAAATTCATGTATTACATATTTAACTTGATCACGATTTTCTAATAATTTTATTGCCTCATCACCTAAATAACGTTTCAAGAGTTTGTAAAATTCTTCATCCACACTAATGCTTCTTATAGAAGTAATTATGTGTTCAGTGACTTCACCTAATGCATCAGTTGATATAAATTTACGTGTAGTTAAATCAACAGTATCGTCATCACAATTAACGATCAGGAAACTTTCTATAATGAATAATAGTTAGTTATAATAACAATTAATAAATTCATTATTTTTTAGTAATAAATTAAATTATTGTTTAAACAATCAAAAAGATATATATATATATATATATAGTAATATATTCTTACTGCCATCAGGTGAGCCAAAATGTTCTTTTGACATTTGCATACAATACATTGCAACTGCTTCGGCTAGAAATTAATTTATGTAATTATTATTATTAAATAAATTTATACAGTTAATATTTATTAAATTTAAGAATAAAACTTACGTTCAGTGAAAAATTGTAATTTTTCTGAAGTCAAATAACCAACTAATCCAGCATTATATACACATTCTCTTAATATTCTTTTTGATTTTAAAGAAAATTCTTCGGGTACAGTGAGTACTAACAATACATTTTCCAAAAATTTAACAGAAGGCCAACGCTTTTCAATAGTTTTTTTAATTAACTTTAAGAAAGAAAGAATAATACTTAATAAATTTTTTGAGTAAAGATTACAATATATAATATTCAAATTATAAACATTTTCATACCTTTCCTAATTTATTTTATTTATTTCATTATTAAAAAAAAAGATAAAAGAATAATTATATCAGTTAATTTTAAAATAATAATTTTATAAATTATTGTAATCAAAGTAAAGTCATAATACTTTTACTTACCCATTTCTCTTAAATAATCCGTAATCGCTTTTTTATAATCCAATGATCGAGGCAATGGAGGTTTCTCTGAATCAGGTATTGTGCTCAAATGAATTTTAAATAATTCAATAGGCTTGTTACGATGAACTTTTGATTGAAGTTTTTTAATTAATGCTGGATAACCCCATTCTAACACATTTTCATATTTTTCATCATATTGTAAAACAGTATTTGCCCTTAAAGTGTCTCTTTGTCCCGGCTATTTCAATAATAATAATAATAATAATAATAATGTGTCGAAGAAAAGGTAAATTTGTTACACAGAATGACTTTCATTAAAACTTACCCAAGAATCATTTATTATTATTTCAGGATTTTTTTTATGCTATCAATAAATTAATCAAATATATTTATATTAATAAAAAAATTCTTTTTCGTCAAAAAATAATAGAATTTAAAAAAAATTGGAACGTAAACAAACATACCGCGTAAGCGAAACTCTGATATATTCATTTAGATGGATGATATAGATAATACAAATAATTTAATGGATTTTTGCAAGTTTATTCATAAATTCTATTCCTTTTTTATTATTATTATTATAAATCATCCTAAAACTTACTGAATATTTCGTTCCAAAATCTATGAAATATATTATTCGAAATGTAATTAAAGAAATTTTAATAAGATTATAAATTGAAACCATATATCTTATTCAAACTTACCAATCGCTACAATTACTTCAATATCGTTTCCCCAAGGCATTTTAAATGATAAAACTAAAATAAAAAAATGATAAAGTGACTAAAAATGGCAATAATAATTATGAAAATACGGAAAAAAGAAATAATATATTTTGTATTATGTTTCACAGCCTTAATATATTTTTTTTATAAAGACCGAAAAAAATAGGTCAGTGCCGTGATTAGCCAGTGCGTGCGTGCGTGAGTCTATAATCAAAAATTATACTCAAAATAAGATCAAATTTAAAAGGCTAAGACTTTTTACACAGACCTAAAATAGAAATTTTAGCCGGCGGATAATTATGATAGGTAATGATTTGTTCTTTCAAAATTATATGTTTTTATTTAAAATATTATTTTTATTATATACAGTATTTTAAAAGGGGCGGAGCGAAGCTTAAAAAATTTTTATTGGGCTAAAAATCACATGCAATCTATTTCAAAATAAAATAAAATTTGGTCAAGTACATACAAAATGACAAATTTCTATAAATAGTAGGACCCCTTCGAATGTCAATTTTGTTTCACAAGTATTTAAAATTTCCACTGAGTCATGTGAACAAATAATTAATCGAATAAATGTTTATATTATTATTTTTATCTTTTTCTGATCGGTCGATGGGTATCAAAAGTCATGGGGCAAATAAAAATTAATAAAAAAATCATTATAGTTAAAATGCTAATTGTGACACAACGGGTGATCTAAACTGCACAAACTTTTTTTTATTAGATTCCCCTAAATTAGGGCTATCATATGATATATTTTGTGTTAAAATTAAATGTCTATAAATATTGAAATTACACTTTAAATAAAATTGACAAAAAATAAAAAATTTAATCTTTGAACGTTACCCATACCGGATTTGATGAA